TTCACTGATTACATAGCTTCTAGTATCAATATTACAGTTTGTTACATGAAATGTACATATATATTTTCACTGATTACGTAGCTTCTAGTATCAATATTACAGTTTGTTACATGAAATGTTTGTATATATTTTCACTGATTACGTAGCTTCTAGTATCAGTATTACAGTTTGTTACATGAAATGTACATATATATTTTCACTGATTACATAGCTTCTAGTATCAATATTACAGTTTGTCAGATGAAATGTTTGTATATATTTTTTCCAGTTCTTTTTTTTTTCTACCCCATATATCCTATGATGTTTCATAAATCACTTTCGATAGATGTATTTAATAACGTCAAGTTATTTCCAGTTATACACGTCTGTTATTGGCTAAAGCTAAATGTGTACTAAGTTTATAAAACAGTGTACTAATTTGTATAGTATAACTTATTATTTACCCAAGTAAAGTATCGGTTTCCTCTTTCAACAGGCAAAGCTTTAGAACTTGTTTCAAGTTTTAAAATTCCTTTGAATCTGAATGGGAGCAACGCTGTCACCACACCCGCCAACAAGAAACGAAATAGTGATGTTATTGATCTCACATTCGATGGTGTTGAAAACTGCAGTATTGGCTCTGTTGGTTTGTTTTGTTTTGTTTTACATTAATGTGTATTATTGTATTTTAATTTTCATTCATAGGCTTAGTTTATTAAAAGAAAGATAATAGGATAATTGAGTTACATATTTTCTAATGTGATTAATCCAGTTGGTGTTTCTGAATCACAATTTAGAGTTAAGTCAGTTAAAGCTGTAGAACTGTTCTTCTGCAGTTTGTTCTCTGTAGCTGTAACTGTCACGAACAAGATGAAATAGGAAGATTAGCCAATAAGGAGATACGAAATATTTCATTGAGTTTACAGATATTTAAATCAGTTGAACTACTTTACAAGTACATATAAATGTGAAATCTGTGTTACAGAAATGGTACAACCTCCAACAAAACGTCGCAGAGTTTTGCCACCAGGGGTAAGCCTTGAAAGTTTGAAGTTAAGTAAGTATTTTAAAAAACAAAAAATGTTTTTTGAGAATTTTCTAACAGTACCAAAATGAATTTTATGAACTAGTTTACATAACTGTCTTGTTCACACCCTCAGTTTTCTCTTTGGAAAGTCTTAAGACTGGATCAATGGACAGCATTCAAGCCTTTCTGAAAAGATGATTCAGAAATGAATCCTGGCTTCTACCATCACAAACAGTCTTTCATGGGACTTTCCTGAAGAGAACAGTGAACATAAACCACTTAGTATCTAGTAATAAAAAAATAACTAATAAATAATTGGACTTATATGATTGGAAAGGCTATTAACCATGACAGTGGTTTAACCAAGTATTATTACTTTATGCAGTGTGTGTGTTTTTTAAATCAGTTTTGAACTTTATCTATTTATTATTCTAGTTTATAACTTTCTATAGCAGCATTATTGACCACTATAAGATGCTACTTCCTTTTAATACATATGTAGTTTTGGTGTTTAGTAGCAGTCCAATTATTTTTATCTAAACCAGATTGTTCAAGCTAGTAGACAGACACACAAAGCTTCAGATTGTTCAAGCTAGTAGACAGGCACACAAAACTTCAGATTGTTCAAACTAGTAGACAGACACACAAAACTTCAGATTGTTCAAGCTAGTAGACAGACACACAAAGCTTCAGATTGTTCAAGCTAGTAGACAGACACACAAAGCTTCAGATTGTTCAAGCTAGTAGACAGACACACAAAACTTCAGATTGTTCAAGTTAGTAGACAGTCACACAAAGCTTCAGATTGTTCAAGTTAGTAGACAGGCACACAAAGCTTCAGATTGTTCAAGCTAGTAGACAGGCACACAAAGCTTCAGATTGTTCAAGCTAGTAGACAGTCACACAAAGCTTCAGATTGTTCAAGCTAGTAGACAGACACACAATGCTTCAGATTGTTCAATCTAGTAGACAGTCACACAAAGCTTCAGATTGTTCAAGTTAGTAGACAGACACACAAAACTTCAGATTGTTCTAGCTAGTAGACAGGCACACAAAACTTCAGATTGTTCAAGTTAGTAGACAGACACACAAAATGGGCAAAAAAATGAACTTACTGAATATGTGGACCTCTACAGAACAAGAGTGAAGAAAAGTTTAAAAGAAAATATTAAATTCCTGACAAATAAGGAGATTCACTGAATACCATTGTTTCTTTCTAGTACAATAAACATGGAAAGCGTCTGTCTTTCATTGTTGTTTTCCGTGGAACGAGAACCCATTTTTCTTCTTTCCGTAAACATCTTTTTCTTTGTTTCAGAATGATTGTTGAATAAAATAAAATAGTTTTCTGTGAGACTCAAACGTTGTTTTGTTTTTCACATTATAACATGTTTAACATATAAACTATGATTGAAGAAATATCTGACTGTTAAATGATTTAAAACGACACTCCTGTCAAACATTTAATTAGAGTTAAAAGGAATACAACATTAAAATCATTACACAATATATAATTATTTTGTGTGACCTATGTGTAATGTTTCCATGTCTGTTGTGTGACATATAGTCCCTGTTTTTAATAACTATTCATTGTTTAATGATTTTAACGTCGTTGTATTCCTTTTAACTGTAAATATCTGGTTGTTCTTCCTCCACTGTTGAACCTAATCGTCTTTGGACATTTTTCTAAAGAGAACTTAATATATTCCTATGCAAGTTTATGTGACAGATGTCAGTATAATTACTTCTGGATTTTCCAGATCCAGATGAACTGGTACATGTTTATACAGATGGAGCATGTAGTTCAAATGGTCGGCGTGGAGCAAGAGCAGGAATAGGGGTTTTTTGGGGTGCTGACCATCCACTGTAAGTATATCCATTCTGTATATCTTCTACGTCCAGTCGAATGCCAGCCATTTACTTGCAGATATATCCAGAATTTAAGCCTCTTGCACGTACAGTTACCTTTTATTATATATATGTGTGTGTGTGTGTGCGCGTGCGCATCCTAGCGCACTGGATTAGAATATTGAGTTAAAAAAAGGATGTTTTGCCAAAGTCCATGCAACCCTATTTGATCTCTTTACATTAAAACTTTTTGATAAGTTTTAAACTATTATTACATGAAAATGAACATTGTAACGAGCTTATTCTTAAACATCTAAATATTTTAAGGTTTTTAAAATTTGATGAGATTAAGAGGCTTCTGATTGATTAGGGTATCAGCGTGAAAACCGTATCAAATTTATTAAGGCTCTACACGGTGGTATAGTATGGTTGATATAGGTAAAACAGTTTTAGAGTTGTTTATACATTTGTTTAATTGTGATGTAGTAGTCGTTCAATACTGGATGTTTCTTCTATTGGGAATCGATATGGTTCTACTGCCTCATAATCAAAATTTCAAAGTTATTCAACTTTTGTCAAAACATTTTAAGAGGAATAAAATGTAGTTTACCATTTTTAGTCGCACAATATAAATCAAGTTTCATATTCTTAAATCATAACCTTGAAATACACAAGTATTTTTGTTTTCATGGTGTTGAAATACACCCGAGTATAATAATGAAGATGAAGACAATTGACAAAATATTTTTTTTACAAGGTATTCCGAAATGTTCAAACGTTGTAAATAAAATGTTGTGTGTTTTTTCAACCGTCTAAACCTGGATATTTTTGTTTTTCTTAGTGTTGAAATACAACTAAAAATTAATTTTATTATTTCTTTCATATCTAGGCCAAATCATTTCAAGAGTTGTTTATAAGTTTTAGTTGTGATGTAGATAGTTATTTGAAACTGGCTGTCTCGCATTGTGTTCTTCCATTGTTAATTGATGTGCTTGTAGATGTAAGCACACGTGTTGCACGAGTAGAAAAGGTTGAAATTCCGAGTTTAAAAAGAGATCTTTAAATATTTTGAATTATACAACAACATTCCCTAATCAAATAACTCGTCTGAGAGCAATCGATCATAAGTGTTATTCAGATTGTAAAGAAAAAATAATAATTTTCTGACAGTTTGTCTGGTCGGATAGAGACTGGAACTTCCTTACCCTAGTAATGTTACCACGTCTGTTGTGTGACCTGTAGTCCATTCTAACCTATTAGTGGACAGACAAACATACAGTTTCACTTTTATATATATATTATTTCTTAGATTGACTTGGATACGTTAAACATAAACCTAATTAGATAGTGAAGTAAGTTCTTACTGTTTAATATATTATTGTATTAGCACATATGCTTGGTGCCCGAAAGCGTGTAGATGCTCTATGCTTGGCGCCCGAAAGCGTGTAGATGCTCTATGTTTGGTGCCTGAAAGTGTGTGAAAAAATGGTTTCTTTGATCACTTCACTATTTTAATAAAATTCTTCAATTTGTGTATGGGGACATGTCACATACTTCTGACAAGTTGTACAGTGTTAACTTAGTGAACCAGGTTTGTACATGTAAATAGGTATAGAACTGTTTTAAAACATATTGTAAGTAAACCTTGTAAGTACTATTAATTTCACTTCTATTGTTTCAGAAATGTAAGTGAAAGACTCCCAGGAAGGCAGACTAACAACAGAGCTGAAATACATGTAAGTCTATGTTTCGACTTAGACTGATTCCTTTTATGTAAACATAAATACTAGTTTAAGTAAAGTAAAACATAAATTATCCATTAAGTGAAGTATCTTATTATTTATTTCATCTTCATGAGGATGAGCCTATAGTATACACTGTATAGAAATTAATACAACATTAAATATTATAAAAATGTTTATTTCTGAGCATTTTGAGCTACTTCCTCAACCTGCTGTTTACTTAAACTTCAGATAGAAATAAAAACTCGAATCAGTAGTGTTCTGAGTAGTGGATCGTTATTTCTGACTCTCAGCTGTGATGTCAATCAAATACGCCTTATCATTTTTCTGCCTGATTGTTCACCTTAACTTCTTCCTGACTATCAGCGTGAACGTCTTTCTTCCCGACCATCTGCCTTAACCTCTTCCTGTGTTAGTATTTCCTTTAACCTTTCCTTGCCTTACTGTGTTTGTTGCCCAACTCTTTAAAAAAATGTTTATTATATCTCACTGTGATCAAGGCTGTCAGAAGAGGGAGGTGTGTTTTGGTGATGTTAGATCCCTTTTTTCCCAATGAAGGCCCCCCTCAGTATGAACATTTTTTTGAATAGATGAAAAAAAACATTGGACTCTATGTAATAAAAATTACCCCATGAACAGCAAAATTTTGATTTAGTAGAAGCTACATAACAGTATAGATGAATTAACTCCCTCCACGGTAAAATTTGATGTGAAAAATGAACTAAAATATATTGTAAGTGCTGGCCCCACTAATGTCAGTCTCTTTAATGACGGGGAAGAGCCCTGACTATCATGGGAACGTCCTCTAATTATTAATATCAAAAGTGGCAGGTGATATTTATAATGATATCTGACATTTCTAACTATCAATTATTGAAAAGAATTAAGGTCGTACAATTTTTCTTTTGAAATCATAACAACTTGTCGAGTTTCAGAAAAGTGTCTAGGACATTATATGCACTTAATATTGATAACCAACTCTCGGTGAATCATGAAAACCCCCAGTTTAATTTTCATAAGTATTATTGGGGGGGGGGGTATAAGAAAAAGTTTATATTGTCTTTTTAGACAATATTTTTTATATCTTTTTTTTGTAGTGTATAACTTAAAAGTGTAAAGTAATATACGATAAAGTTAAGATCCGTACTAACGGAACGATACCAAATTTAAATAGAAACTAGTTTTGATATCTCTAGTGCCATCTTTAGTCCAACATGGTATTTTGTGCGACAGTTATAACTACCTTAGACCTACAAAAACATGCTTGAAAACATTTTAATGGAGAAATAATTGAATGTGGAACTGAACAAAATGTTAGTCTCTGTGCTAGGGCTTTTTTTTTTGTGTATCACCTCTGTCGATCAGCAAGTTATGCACGTGTAATCTGTAAATGTAAATTATTAAACCCAATCTTGTTAGTAGTCACTTCCAAGTGGCTGGTAAAGCTAGTGAGTTTTCTGTAGCTCATGGGGCTATGTAGATAATACTTGTAGTTATCTACATATGCGTTTGACTATGTGACACTCAATTTTAGGCTGTTTAAAGCAGAGAGGTTCTTTTCAAGCTTCAGCATGCGATATATCTAATATTCTTTCCTTCATTGAAAGTGGATTTATAATTTTATTCCACTTTCCAGCTAGCTAAAGAACTTGTATGTTACATAACTCTGTAGTTTTATAAAATTTTAAGACTCTGGTCTCTTTATGTTGTTCTAATTAGAACAGTTATGCTGATTGTAAGAAGTCGTAGCTATGAAACTTGCGAGTACAGTCAGATAGAGCTCCGGTCTGCGATAACCCCTACCACCATCACAGTTGAACTAATGAAAATGTTACCTTAATGTATCTTGTTCTTCTGTCTCTCTGATACTAGGCTGCTAGAGGTTCAAAATATTGTGTTAAGTACTGTTAGCTTAATGTGTCTTGTTCTTCTGTCTCTAGGCTGCTGTTCGGGCACTGGACCAAGCTCAGTCACTTGGGCTGAAAAACCTTGTTCTTTATACAGATAGTGCATTCCTTATTAAAGGTAACCTTTACTCTTCCTCCAATGAAATTGTATTGCTAGAATACACTTGTATTGTTACAGTTCTACCAGAAGAGCTGCTAAAAATCTTTAATGTAATTACTAACAATTACTCTCAATCTTTGTGTTCCATTTGTTTTCAAAGTATGGGGTGTGCTCCCCTGGGGGGAGTATGAGGACCTCACTAGTTTCAGATTGTTTCTGTAAAATATTGTTGAAACAATAATATGCCTTCAAATACCAAAGAATTTATTCAAATAAATGTTTCGTACAAAAGAATGGAGGCATATGGAAAACGATTCTTCAAAGGGGGGAGGGGTGTAGCAAAATATTTGTAACTATTGATGTAATACACAGAATTTCTGGACTTAGTTATAGATGAACTTGGAATAACAGTTGGTATATTACATAACATCTTTATTTGTGTATAAGAGTAACCTATAAAACGGGTATTTCAATTTTAAATTAGGGTTGAAATGCTTTCATGAAACTAAGTTGTATGTGTTGTGTACGTTAGTATGTGTTGTGTACGTTATTTTATTAGATTAAGTTTCTCTCTCTTGACTACTTTAAACAGATAACTGTTAAAACTTTACCCTTTGATGTTTTTTGAAATAATTTCAGTTTGTTAAAAACTACTGTTCTTCGTAACCTGATAAAAAAAAAAAAAGTTTTATATTTTGTTAATCATTGATAAAAAGATTTTCATGATATAACAGTGTCAGTTTTATTTTACTATGAGGCTACTGTGTGTATTTAATTAAGGTATTACCATGTGGATCAAAAAGTGGAAACGTAACGGTTGGAAATTAACGACTGGAGAAAGTGTTAAGAACCAGGAAGACTTTGAAGCTTTGGATGAAGTTTTGAAGGGGCTTAATGTCAAATGGGTATATCAGTTTTATATAAACGTGAAATTATTGTAACCTTCATTATTCAGGTTATACATTGTATGTAAAAAAGTAATTATCACATATTGACTGTGAAATAAGTCAACTAATTATTGTAACCTTCATTATTCAGGTTATACATCGTATGTACAAAACAATGATCACATATTGACTGTGAAATAAGTCAACTAATTATTGTAACCTTGATTATTCAGGTTATACATCGTATGTACAAAACAATGATCACATATTGACTGTGAAATAAGTCAACTAATTATTGTAACCTTGATTATTCAGGTTATACATGTATGTACAAAACAATGATCACACGTTGACTGTGAAATAAGTCAATTAATTATTGTAACCTTCATTATTCAGGTTATACATCATACTCGTACAGCTGATGTCACCTAAATAATAGGTGTCTTCCTACTTCTGTGGCTAGTACTATTTTCTTCATTCTGTACCACTTTAATATACAGTTATTGCATATTTATTTATATATTGTGGTTATTCTGTTAAGTGTCATCATCATCATCATCGGGAAGCAGTTGAAATCATTTTAATTACACAGATAGTGTCATCATTATAAATGTTAATCAAGCAGGCAGCGATGTTTTATTTAAACAAGTTACGTTATCATCACCTGATAAATTCTGTCATGTTAATCTAACATTTGTGTTCGGTGAAGAGTTGTGGTTATATTTTGGTTTCTTTTTCTGCTAATACTGATTTATTTTTTTCTTTCAACAATCCCCGAGGATGTAATTTACACACTAGATATTAAATCTACTAAAGTTTATTTTCGTAACACTAGAAACATCTTTCTTGGTGTTAGTTCTGAATAAAGTTGACTAAGAAAAATTCTTTATTGTAAACTTAAAGTTTTTTTTCTCTGTAGATACATGTCAGAGGTCATCGTGGTATCCATGGTAATGAAGCAGCTGACAGACTGGCTGTAGCAGGAATGGATAAATAAATAAGGCCTAAGAGATAACATCTAAAATTTTAAGAGTAAGGAGAAGTCCTATTAAATTGTATTCCATGTGATTATTAAAAAATTCTAAATTATAGGCCTAGCGACACGACTATATATGTTTAAACTGTGTTAATAAATTGCGTATTTTGCAATCGTGTGACGACAGTTCGGATAATAAACTGAAATAATTTATTTTAACACCATCATGTTGAATGTTATTTGAACAAAAACATGCTTGACCATAACAAGTTCGGGTTAGATTTTAGTTATTGGGATACATGAAACTATTAAGGGTTAATGACCAAGTTCGTAATACGAAGTAACACGCAGGATTACTGAACACTTTGTTTGTAATCATACAGTTATATTTTATAGTACCTCACAAGAAATCATTCTGTAACATTATGGGCTGTGTTATACCATCTCAGATGTCATTCTGTAAAATTATGGGCTGTGTTATACTATCTCAGATGTCATTCTGTAACATTTATGGGCTGTGTTATACCATCTCAGATGTCATTCTGTAACATTTATGGGCTGCGTTATACCATCTCAGATGTCATTCTGTAACATTATGGGCTGTGTTATACTATCTTGTAGGGTGTGAATGAAACAGGTTGTTTGGCAAGACAAAATATAATTATACAAATTATTTTTCAGACAAAAAAAAAAGTCTGAATTTGCATACGGCTTTTCTCTGTAAAATTCTAATCACTGTACTAACTAGTTGTAATTTTCCTAAAGTAGAAGTCAAAAATGATTTGCCTGTTTTTTAGCTACACCTAACTAATTAAAATATAATGTGATAAGTTTGTTTCAAATAATAAAACCAATTGTTACAATTTTCAGTAAAGCTGCTGGGAGTGGCCAATCTTGTAAACAAACCTATAGAGTTGAAGTCACGGTTTACAAGACATATTTTAAAAAATACTACGATTCCTTTTTACACGAAAAAAAACAACTTGTTATCAAAATGTTTTAGCGTATTTCCTTCTAATCAGTTGAGGTTCTACTCATTAATCAAATACTTATTTTTCAAACTTATAAATTTCAGTTGAGATAATAACTAAATTCTCTACCATCTCTAATTAAACCGGGCATGATTGACTATGAATCACATAGTTCATGGTTTGCATCCCATTGTCGAGGAAGGCAAGTGGAATCCACCAGTTATTCCTCATGACAGACACGATGGGTTCATGTGTCAATCTGTACTTGTTTTCTTGTGGTATATTTACAAATCAAAGTAGACTTTAACGACGGTTACAGTTTACCTGTATGATATCGTACAGATGTTATGGTAATTCTCTTTCTTTCGAATTACACTGTGCACAGTTCATGTAAGATTTTCAGAGTTCTGATATAAAACACTTAAACCTGAGTTGGTAGAGAAGATAGGTAAAGTTGAGTCAGTCCAAGATTCTGACGTGTCTTTAAAGGAAGATTATGAAAGGAAGATTAAACGGTCGTTTTTCTGAAAAAAATGAATTTTACTATTTAGTAACTAGAAAACTGTATAACAGCCATCTAGTTTACAGTTTTAGTTGGGAGATCCCACACACTTACCACTACAAACTTTCATGATCCCCACCTCACACCTTTAATTATTCTTTACTGTGACACCTCTGCTGTTTTTCTTGCAGGTGCACAAAAATACTAATTTTCTTACGACTCAAAAAATCCGTAAGAGTATGTTTCTTGTTTTTAAACACAGTTATCTCGTGACATCCATCATGACTACGATGTTTGAACACCTTTTCATTCCTAATTTCAGTCAACAGTGCTTTGGGAGTCGCTTGTCACCAACATTTAATAGAATGGTATCAGTCAACAGTGCTTTGGGAGTCCTTGTCACCAACATTTAATAGAATGGTATCAGTCAACAGTGCTTTGGGAGTCACTTGTCACCAACATTTAATAGAATGGTATCAGTCAACAGTGCTTTGGGAGTCGCTTGTCACCAACATTTAATAGAATGGTATCAGTCAACAGTGCTTTAGAAGTCGCTTGTCACCAACATTTAATTGAATGGTATCAGTCAACAGTGCTTTGGGAGTCGCTTGTCACCAACATTTAATGAATGGTATCAGTCAACAGTGCTTTGGGAGTCGCTTGTCACCAACATTTAATAGAATGGTATCCATCTTCTGAGCTACCAGTATCTTTTTAATTCCTAGGTATTTCAGATTAAAGAAAATTGGATCCAATTGTTAAGAAAATTATCATACATAACACAAATTATCAGAAAATGGGATTCCAGGAAATTATTCCTACCCTGCTTCATCAACCATGATAACTTTACTGTCATTGTTGCCAAAATGAAATGTTCCTGAACAGGTATGGGTTAGTTCTTGTTGTTACTGTTTGAGATTTACTTTGAGGAAGATTCTAAGAATGATTCGTCTTTAGACTGATATCAAGAATAATCAAAGAGAAAAACTAAGTTACTAGGTTTCTTAATTTTTTTTGCTCATCACGATCGTATTTTTTGTGAGAATGGTAATCACAAGTGTTTGTATCATGTGACACAATATATGTTTTAAAATAAAAAGATAGTGTATTCAACAGTTTGATATGTTTGTTACAAATTAACTGATGTCTTATTGTATTAAAGATGTAAAACAATTCTGGCATAAAACTGGAGTAAAATGTATGAAGTCTTTTAAACCTTTTACCACAAATTGTGGATCCTAGTTTTAGTGACTTCTTAAACATGATCTTTAAATGTATCCATTGTTAAATATATTATTACAAAAAATTTAAATTCATGTTGAAAGTCGTAATGGAAATAAAAATATTAGATAAAATTTCAAAGCCACATAAAATGTAAAAACTTGATATAACAATTTGAAATTGTTAAAACAGTTTTATTTTTATTAAGGTTTCCCGAGTTTGATTACATTTCTGTATGTTCAAAAGGAAATTTTATATTAAAGAATACTGTCTCGACTCCGATATAAAACTTATTTTACAGAGTAAGATTTCATACAAATGAAACGGCTCTTTAAAAGCAACACATTCTTAGTTAATGTCATCGGATTTTCTTTTCTTTTTAATTTTTAAAATAAACAACCACAGCAATAAGAATTTTTGTTTGAAGTTTTATATTCACGACAACTTCTTAAAAACAAATTTTTGTTGTGTTATATTGACTATCAACCTTCCAGTGATTAATTAAACCATTTCAACATATAATATCAAAGCTTGTAGCTAAACATGCTTGTCCTTTCAACTGTGGGGGGTGTTATAATGTCATGGTCAATCTCACTATTTGTTGGTGAAAGTTGGCAGTTGATTAGCTGCCTTTCCTCTAGTTTATCATTTTAAAGTCTGGTGCATGGTCGTTTTTGAAAAATTCAACAAACACAGATAGAACAGTGATGATTAAAGGAATTTAATTCTAGTTAATATGTACATATAAATTTAACTGAATTATATATATGTTTCACCATCTATCTAGAAACAGCATAGCTGTAAATAATACAAAATTGACTTATATTAGATTAGCTCTAATAGTTAGTTAATCACGCAAGAACATTTTAGTTATTATGCGAAGAATAAATTAAAATTTTAGTACAGTTTTTAAATAGTCTTAAAATTTCCTATTGATGCTACATAGTTGAAAACGCCCTCTTTAATATGTACTTATACGACACAGTTCAGTAAATTGTTTTATAACAAACGATAACAAAAAAAAACGCACCATATCATTAACGTTCAAACAAAGTCAGATAATAAAACAGTACCAGAGATCTGTTGGTAGAATTTAATTACAAGTGTAGGGTAAACACTCGATACACAGACTTCACGAAATGTACAAGTCAATACAATATTGGTGTATAATAGGATAAATAAATGTACTGATTGTTATAACTCGTGTAATGTTTTGTCATCACTGAGTATTCAATAAACTGTATATAAATCTCAAATCAATTCAAGTACTTAGAACCAGATAAATACGGGATTAGAACTTTAAACTTTGGTAGTGATTCTTAGGGTATTTTACACAACCCTTTATTAGTCATGATAACATCATCTCCATCACTGCGCTTTGGTTGAACGTTGGTTAATTCTTCTGAAGCTGGAATCTTATCTTGGGTTGTTTGTTCTAAGCATGCTACATTAAAGTCGTAACCTTCTTCTGAATCGTCATTTTTTGCGTTTCTAAACACCACTTTTGGCAAAAGAAACACGGATAACATTATCATAAAACCTATAAAAAATACTACCAAACCAATCACTTTGCAGAGACCCAAGTTCTTGTTGAACAGCAGGGCTGAACGATCTATAATTTCCAAGTTATCTTGGTAACCTATGACAACTTTCTTTTCCGGTGCTAAGTAGCCCAGTAATATTAAAATTAATCCAAATACAAACAGCATTACTCCTGACCAAAAAGCCACCTTCCAACAAAAGCTTCTGCGACATTTCTTTCCTTGCTTAACCAAATAACGAAAATCGTAATCTTCAAATTCGTCGTTTAATTGAGGATCTCTAATCATGATGGAGTCGTAAAATTCATGCACGTATGAACGAATTCCAAAAAAACCAGAGCATTTTGTATCATGTGATTTCCTAATACTTGAGGGATCTTGTTCAGTTTGATACCTTCCCTTTTTATCTGTGGACTTACCATTTCCTGTATCTCTCAACTGTTCCTTCGAAGTTTCTACTGAAGCCTCATGAGATATACTACGAGTGGTTTTTTTTTCGTTTTGTTGTATCTTCGATGTTTCGAACTTTAGGCCTAGTTCCAGTACAAACGTTTTTCTCAAACTGGAAAATGAAAAATAGATTACTAATAACAAAATATTTACTCAATATTTTTGTATTTCTATGGGATCCTATCTAACTTTCTAAAATAATTTTATTACCCTACTTTACATAACTATGAATTAGTTAGTATACATACTGCACAATTATTCACTTCTTGTTCTGCACCTTCTTCAACACCTCCTAACAAAGTGTCTTCTTCATTTTCTTCGTTCATAATATTTCAGAATTTTTTTCTGAATATCAAGTCTTCTGGAAAACAAAACAAAAACAAACTAGATTGTTAAAATAAAAAAAAAAAATATTGATATAACAAAGAGGGTAGTAAACTTTATCACGTGGGTCAAAGTGTGTATTTTATTGTTTTAACCTTATTTTAGATTGAATCAAACATATTGATTAGTATTTAGTCAGTAAGTGTTTTCGATGCGTTTTATAAATAACATCATTATTAGATTACGTCTTTGTAAAATATCGAACACCATTATTTTAAAGCAGCATTTATGTTGTGACAAAGAATTTTCTTTGGTTATTCAAATCAGATACTTTCTTTGTAATGAGTACATGGTATTTTTCATAGAGATAATTATTCACATCACAGAGAATTGATGAGTTTGTTGCCCAGGCCATTCACTCCTTGTTTTACATTTTATTCAAATGACAGGATCTACATATTCATACCTTGTGGTTGTGAGTACATTTATTTCAAGATTAATTACGTTGATTTAAACAAATTTATTAATTGCATTTACCAACAGTAATCCAAACTTTGAAATAATAACGAGAATGTTGTTAATGACATTCATTTAATACTTATAATAGAATTTTTAAATTAGCTTCGGTAAGATTGTTCTTTACAACACCTGCATTACAATGGCCGCATTGAAACTTCTGTATTGGCTGGGACACTTCTTACTTTTAAATAATATTATGAATTCATTATTAATTTTTCAGATGTGTTTAAGGCTAACTCTGTGTTCAGGCAATTGCGAAACAAGCCTTGAAAATCTAGATATCAACATGTTCAATATAGGAGAATGGCCCTCTATTCTCAATATATCGAGGAGATCTATGTCTATGACAGTTATTTTGGTATAATGTTAATAGTTTAGAGAAAACACTATTAATCACCAAGGGTATTCGAAGATTAGCAATCCTCCTTCACCCTGCACGAATTTAAAGATTAAAAGTACGTAGAATGGTCGTCGTTCTAATTGGGCCAAGTGGACGAAAAAATAAAATAAAAGAAGAGGAAAAATAAATTGAGGAGATTTCTCATTCACCACCCCTTTTATAGATTTCTGCGACATCGTACACCTGAGTGTGACCATAAATAGCACCCCTTTTCCGAGATACTTGGAAGGAGCATGCGAAATTTTTTGCCACCTGAGTGAATGGCATGAGGGTTATTGCTATACCTAATATTAAGTGACTCTCCAAAATTAATGTAATGACCTTTTATTTTTTACAAGTTGCATCTAGTAAAACAAAACCACAAGAACAAAAAACGTTTAAGTAAACAATAAATATTAGCTATTTCCACTACCGTTAATGAATTACCTTAAAAACAATATATATAGCAGTTTAAGTAATTTAAAATATTGCCGGAATGAAACATGTTTAGGTCATACATATTAAAAAATCACAATTCAGCTTAAACCATCAACAAAAATATTATTGTTATTAACCTGCGGTAACAATGTTAAAGCCCGGCATGGCCAGGTGGTTAAGGCACTCGACTCGCAAGCTGAGGGTCGCGGGTTCGAATCCCCGTTACACCAAATGTGCTCGCCCTTTCAGCCGTGGGGGCGTTATAATGTAACGGTTAATCCAACTATTCGTTGGTAAAAGAGTAGCCCAAGAGTTGGCGGTGGCTGGTGATGACTAGCTGCCATCCCTCTAGTCTTGCACTACTAAATTAGGGACGGCTAGCGCAGAATAACCCTCGTGTAGCTTTGCGCGAAATTCAAAAAACAAACAATGTTAAAAATTCGTAAAACCATAAAGAATTATCCATTATATTATTTAAATGGGAAAAAAAGTTTATTTATTAATTTTAAATGTCTGTTTAGTTTATACTTCCATTAGTTTGGCTAATACAAATCCATATTAAATATCTTTTTTAGAAGAGATGCCCCTGTCGAAGTGATAAAGTACTTTTTAATTATTTTTAACGAAATAAAAACAAAAAATTATGCTCGATGTCTTAGGTATAGGACATTTGAGTTAATTTATTTTCGTTACTCAGAGTACTAATTTCAAAGTAACATTTTTATATTTTAGTTAAGTGAAACTTTCCAAGAATGTCAGGTTTTCTTCGAATTCTACAGGGAACATGCTCCGATTAATTCATGCCCATAAGTGAATTCTGTACGACATGGATGATTTTATATCATATCAAATTGAAAGAGAGAGGAACTCTGACTGCCTAGTTTTATAAACAATACTAAATTTTCCCACTAGCATTAGTGATTTATTAAAAACAAATTATAGAAATTTCAGATAAGTTTGTAGTTATATTCAATGGATAATTTCATATTAAACTCAAAGAGAGAGAGAGAATAACCTGACTACCATGTTTCAAAGTAATTCAGGAAAACGAATGTTTTTTGAGTAAAGTCGGTGTGTATTGCAGTGAAAACAGACATAATTATTACGCAAGCTAATTAAATTTTATTTATTAACAACATCAGCCTAGCTCAACCTTTTTTGTCCAAAGAGATATGACCTCCGTATTTTGCTTTCGAATATACAACAGCACAAGTTACCATCCCAATTCGCAATCCCGTAGTGATTATTTCTGAGTCTAATTACAATGTAACATGGTCTTAACTGCCTAACGAAGGACGCCTGCCAGAAACTTTGCACAAAATAAAACTAAAGAAAGAAAAGAAAAATACAACGTTTTTATCCAGATGTGTCGGTTTATTCTTTATTATAGCTTATCCGATTTTTCTATTCACGTCTTTTCGGAACAACAGTCACTCAAGATGTTGTATACTTGTGGTTTGAAATTCGTTTCAACAAACATGTTTAAAGCAATCATAAAATAAACACAAAAGATATTATATTATTCCACTTGTCAAATAATATATATATATAATATAAAATTAAAGCTAGCACTGAAACTCTCGTACAATACTGTTACTTGCAACATTCATCTACTTTGTTTAAATACTCTTAATGGTGAACAATATGGTAGGCTAGTCAAATAGCATTCTCTAAGATAAAACCTAGTACTTACTTTTTTTCAGTAAGCGAGCTATTTGGGAAGTCTGTTTTTCTCCCCAATAAGGTCTATCAAGTGTGGAACAAGTGAAAATCAATAGCACAAAGCTGACTTGTACACCCTGTTTTCTCAGGTTAAGTTATTGAATGACCCATCACACATTTGTTGGTTTTCACCGTTTGGCGGCCGATAATCTCCCAGTAACGCATGCGCAATATATTTCATGTAACGCATAATAATAAAGTGTTCTGTTGCATGTCCAAAATTAATCATTTTTTTTTTTAATCAATATTTTGGTAATTAAGTTGAATAAGTATGATTTGTCTCTGTCTTCTTGATATATGCTTAATGAACAATCATGTAATAAAATGACGGTTCCTGCTATCAGCTATTTATAAACAGGAAAAATATGTACAATATTCAAAAAAGGTTTTCAGCAAACTTAAAATAGCTAATGTAATGCTCTAAAGCACATATAAAGACCCAGTTAAATCTTTTTTAAATCAAAATAAATGATAATAAGTAAAAAATTATTTGACATTACTTATACATTTTAAAAATAAATTCATATAACCAAAACATAAATTGTCATAGCCAAATATATATATACAAGTATAAAGAAACGAATGTAAGACGTGTTCCACTTCTCAAATATACATATATGAGCAACGTTAAAAATCTTGACATATTTGTATGCGCCATTGTTTGATGAATAAAGAATAAATTTTTCTAATATGAACAGACGGCGCAACATTCTTCGTAAATCTTAGCGATAAAGTTCGGTGCTATTTACTACATACATGTTGTTTCGCGAGGGTATTGAAGAAAACGAGAATGAAAATTAGTGTTTTTGTTTAATAAAACTGTACTTAAAACTTTTAATTTATTAAAATAATTATATTGGTGAATCGAGTTTACTTGTTGAACCGTAAATAAGTAAAGAATATAAAGATTTATGTGTCAGCACTACTTTATGTAGCGCAGATGCTTAGCCGGAGTATAATCTAGGCCTAACTTTGGCGTATACTTCGTACGAGATGTATTTGTAAATTGTACACTGACGTAAAACATCAATGTTAGTCTACTTTTTACTCTTAGTGTTAGCGTACAGCACTAGGATACGAGGTGTTGTCAGTGCTGTCGTTGAATTTTTGTATTAAATTTAACTTTAAGATTTATTAAATAATTTTTATATATACATTTGAGCAAAGCTAGTTTATCAAAGTGAAAGAATGTGATCGCTGGAATAATTAGTTTTTAATACTAATAGATCATTGTTTTTGTACTTCGTCTTAAGCTTACTTGTTACTACTAGTACTAAATTATCAGTTAGAGAATATTACTAAACTTACACAGCTACACGAAGCTTAAGTCACAGTACTTACATTTATGGAAGTTAAATTCAAAATTAAAACTGTAGCTGACTAGTAGTAGTAGTACTAAGACTCTTTCAATCATCAGTCATGGGGAACTGTTTTGATCGTTCTGGGAGTGGGAATACAAAAGATACAAAAGTCAAGAAAGACGATGCACACGCTGGGCAAGTCCCAGTTAAGCTCGAATCCAGTCTTCCAACATTAAAGTTAAACAAGTTAAAGCCTGGAATACAAACCCTTGGACATGTACGTCATGATCATCATGATGCTGTAAAATTAAAAAGAGATGGATCATCCTTGCACTCAGCTTCTTCGAATTTTGACTGTACTCTTGGCGGTGTTGCAAAAATATATGTTGCATTGTATGACTATGATGCCCGAACAGATGAAGATTTGGGCTTTAAGAAAGGTGAACACTTGGAAATATTAAATGATACTCAAGGAGAGTGGTGGTTTTCAAGATCAAGAGCTACCAAGTTAGAAGGCTATATACCATCTAATTATGTTGCCAAATTAAAATCAATTGAAGCTGAACCGTAAGTTTTTACTAGTCATAAGTTTTTACTTGTTCGTACAATTACCAGTTGTACTAGCCATAAGTGCTTACTTGTTCATACAATTACCGGTTGTACTAGCCATAAGTGCTTACTTGTTCATACAATTACCAGTTGTACTAGCCATAAGTTTTTACTTGTTCATACAATTACCAGTTCTACTAGCCATAAGTTTTTACTTGTTCATACAATTACCAGTTGTACTAGCCATACCTTTTTACTTGTTCATACAATTACCAGTTGTACTAGCCATAAGTTTTTACTTGTTCATACAATTACAGTTGTACTAGCCATAAGTTTTTACTTGTTCATACAATTACCAGTTGTACTAGCCATAAGTTTTTACTTGTTCATACAATTACCAGTTGTACTAGCCATAAGTTTTT